AAAACAGATTTTGCTCTGTCGTAGCCTGGAACAGGCTATATATACTATATAGGCTATATAAACTGCTATAAATTGTTGTCCTTTGGGGTTAGAGTTTTGTGTTGGCTTCCAGAGATGTATAGAGAAGTCTTCTGAGCTATGCACAACCCTCAAAACCACAAATTTTCACTTTGGATCACTTCAATGTGATCAAATACAAATACAAAATAAAAGTCAAGAGACATTAATATAATGCTTGCCCATGAAATTCTGCTAGATCTCCTGAACATAAAAGTATTTACATAACAGAACCAAAATAATATTCTTTGGTTCTTTCATGTGAGCTATGTGTTTGGAAGTCCAGAAGTCTTTTTGAATGCAGAAGGAGAAAAAAACAAAAATATGAAATCAACAGTCGTAGAGGAAGGATAGACAGATGCAGGAAAGGCCATTGACGTGCTGCAGAGAATGCAAAGGCAGGAGCTGTTCATTCAACTATCAGCAGCAAAAGAGAGTTCTGAAGAAGTGACTAGAAGCTGATATATCTTGAAAGTTTGAGAACGGGAGGGAGGGGTGCGTTTCCCACAGGCAGGGGAAAGGTTTCCCATTCTACAGTGCTCATTTTCCATGGACACCAAGTCAAATTGGAATTTCTCCAGTGATGCCCTCATTGGATCTGACCCCAGTGCTTCATAAGCGAGAAATCAGATTCAGGTGGCTGTCTCCAGATGACACCCTGGAGTCTTCAGACACAAGACAAGGGCACTGACCAAAAATGAACAGGGCTCTGGGAGGGAAAGACCAACCACTCATTATCCTGTCATATAAATGGATTTTTCAGATTACTTTGGAATCCCATAACTGCCCCCTCCCCCGAATATAATTCATACATCTTGAAAATGAAAAGATGCAATTACTTTGGAATCTATTCCATATGGGAAGACACACCCTTTTGTAATAACTTATTACTAGTCTGAATTTTCAGAGGATTGGGGGAGCCAGACCTTTCCTTATTCTTACCATTTCACTTAAAATGCAGGTGAGACATAGACTGAAGTTAGCTGGAACTGTTCTGAGGTATGGTTGGGATAAAACAGCACGTCTGGCTGGGTGATTTTAGAATGGGAAGTTTAGGAGACGTTTTACCAGCCAAGGAGAATCTACTGTGTGTGTCCAGGAGCTATTTAGACATTTAGTTTTAGACAAATCCATGTGAGGAGACTTTTCTATTTGTCTTTACATCATATTCATCATCAATGTGGACTGTAATCACCTCAAAAGTCTTCCAAAAGGGGGTTAAGAGCACATGAAGAGAACCCAGGATCAGTTTCCAGCACTCACACAGTGGCTCACAGCCATCTGGAACTTCTGTTCCAGGGAATTCAACACTCTTCTGATCTCTGCAGGCAACAGATATGCACATGGTGCACATACATGCAGGAGAAATACTCATAAACATAAAGAAATCTTTAAAAGGCTTCGAAAAGTTCCAAATCAAAGGAAATGAGGGAAGGGGGAGGGGAGAGAAAGTTTTCTGAATTATCCACTCAACTATGTTAACACATAAATACTCATTCTGAGAGAAATATTGAATATATAAATCAAAGGAACAAGACATGATATGAAAAAGGCTACATATTCACTAGGGAATGAAGACATAGCTATTTATTTGATAAAGGTGATGGTCAATGTCTGCAGAGGAAAGGCCAATCTGAAAGATGAATGAAAAGGAGCACCTGCCTACATCTTTGGATTTACCTTTTCCAAGAGGTCTGTGGCTACAATGAAAAATCCTGGCCATCTTGTACAGCAAGGAGTAGGATCTTTAGTTAACTGGAATACCAGTATCTACTGATGACCACATTGGAAAGAGGCGAAATCAATTAACTATGTCACAACAACACATACTGCCCCTCTCTAATCTTTGGTGATTTGAAGGGAGTTCAGATGTGTGACAGAATTGTATATTGCCACAGAGTCACTATAAGGAAAATTAATATGCTACATTAAAAATGGTTATGTATTTTGATGGAGATTTCCAAATGAAGGTAAGTTTTATGATCATAAATTATAGGACAACTTGAATTTACTATGTGCCTGATTTTTATAATATATAATACTTTTGTCTCTCTTTGGAACTGAGAGGAGAAAGTATTAGGTCACCAACTCAAAGATGAAAAAAATTAAACATCCCTTCAACGGGTATGCACCAAGTCTAAGTGGGGACAAAGCTCCTGGGTGATTTATGTATTGGTTCAGAGCACTCACCACAGAAACCCATCACCCTTTACAAAATCTGGCATTAAATTTGTGCTGCAGCTCAGAGTACAAACCACTATCATTCATATGTATTTATTTATTTTATTTTATTGGTAATTATATGTATATGTGTATGTCCAAGTGTGGATATGTACCCATGAATTACAGGCAGTTGTGAGCTGCCAGAAATGAGTGATGGGGTAAACTTGGGTCCTCTGCAAAAGCAGTATGCTGACTTAACTGCTGAACCAACAATTCAACCCCTTATTGACTGATTTTTATGTAACTTTCTGTCTCATTTACCAGGTAAGTCTCCAGGAGATGAATAATGGCACCAAAATTAAACAGCTCTTAGGGGGCAAAACTATGATTTGAAATACTTTATCACTCCAAGCACTGTGGATTTTCTGTATGAGACCTGTTGCTTCAATATCAAGTCTTCACTTATTCAAAGCTTGTTAGGAAAGATTTAAAAATTATAGTGATTTTTCCTTTGGAGAAGAACTTGGAAAAAGTTCATGAACTCCTGAAGTGGCCATCGCAGTCATCATCTATTTCCTATCTTGGTTGTG